CCTCCATTTAAAGAGAACATCAGTTTAATTCCCATGGTTATGTAATCATGTAATATGTAATCTCCCCCCCCCACTATTAATTATTCTGTGTGGATGTTTCATTGTATCATTTGTGTCAGAATGGATAAATTAGAAACTATAAAGTATTAAATCATACTAAACTGTTCCAGCTATTTGGACCCACATTCTAGACTTTATCAATAGCCAGTTACAAGTAATCGGTAGTTTTTGGATTAAGTCTACAAACGTATTTGACAGAAATCACTCAGATGATTTAAAGTAGGCATGCGTAAGTTCCCAAGAACTCAAACAATTATAACATAATTTTGGCCAAAAAAAGTTTCTCAAGTCACAAAAATTCAGAAGCAACTAAATGACTCAACAACAAATCAAATAAAATATATAAGGAGCAATACAGATATCCTTCTACAGGCCATATAATGTCCTCTCCCCCTGTCTGTGTATAATTTATCTTTATATCTTTTTCAAAAAATATCATTTCAAAAATTTTAAAACATTTTAGGAAGCAGCGGGAAAGTAGATATATAGGAGAAAAGACAAAGAAAGGTTTGGTGCCAATAACTAAAATACCATAACAGTTGAAAGAGACTCTTGCCCAGTGTAGCATTCAGTTAAAGCATCCTGCACAGATAGTTGATTTGAATACATTTAGCAAAAGATGAGCAATCGATTCTACTGTCAGATAGCCTTCAGTGTATAGGAAGTTTTCCTAACATTCAAATGGAACCTGCCTTTTGTAGTTTAAATCCATGATTATCTCTTCTGCCCTTTGGGATGATAGAGAACAAGTCTTAGCCTTCTGTGTGGCACATCCTTTCAAATATTTGAAGAGTGCTGTCATTTGCCCCCAAGTTTTCTTGACTCAAGTTTTCGAGTTTCATCATACTGCTGACTCATATTTAGTTTGTAACTAATTTCTATTTCAAGATCTTTTATATATGTTATTGCCAAGCCAAGTATTACCCCAATCTATTCCTGTACATTTAGTCAGTCAGTCAGTCAGTCAGTCAGTCAGTCTGTCTGTCTGTCTGTCTGTCTGTCTCTCTCTTTGTAAGTAGAAAGTGTCGCGATTTAATTTATTAAATTTTAATCTGTTATTTTCAGCTTTTCTGGAATCCATCAATATTTCAACATACTTCATTATGTGAGCAGTGTTCCTGGGTTAGATGAACAAAGAATATTGGGAATGTATGCCAAGACCATATATTTACAGCAGGGTCATCCAAGATGTGAAGATCATACCAGCTGCCAAACTAAAACAAACAGGCACATGTGCTGGGCAACAGTGATATTGGAAGATGCTGGAGGCAGGTGTTCATTTTAATACAGGAAAGGCATCAATTTAGATTGTACAAGAGAAGGCAATGGTAAATCATTCCTATATTTTACAGAAAAAAATCTCATTGATAGAAAATATAAAATAATCGATGATATAGAGTACTCAGAATCCTCCCAAAGTAGTATTGTGATCTGCTACGGCCTACAGAAGCAGCAGAGTCAGAAAGTATGGAGGTTGGGGAGGAACATGGGCCAGTCCTGGAGTCTGGGGAAGGTTCAGACGAGGCTCTACATTGGATGCAGTCAGCGCCATCTGGGAGTTATATGCTGCCTCTGGAGCCTCCAGAATTGGACATCAGTGAGGCAGAGGAATAGGAGGATCCTGTTCCCAGTGCGTGCCTGCACAGAGCTGCCAGAAGGCAAGAACAGTTAAGACAAAAGGAGCGACTCGGGAGTAAGGCTTGAAGAGGATTGTCCCCTCCCATAAGACATAAAGGAGAAGCAAAGGCACGTGAGCCTTTGCAGGAAGCAACTTTGTTCATTCTGGTTGGTTTGTTCTGGTTGGTTTAAAATCTGAAGCTCCGTGTGGCCTTGCAAAGTTAATTGCCAATTAGGTATTTGGCAGCGTTTCAAAGGAGATAAAGGTGGGTATCAGCTTTATCCCGAAATACTTTGGCAGACTATTATCTCAAAGATAATATGGCTAGCATGCTAACCTCATAGTGCACAATAATATATAATAAGGTTGCAGAGATTAATTTATCTGAAATATTCCATGCTGTAATTTTCATTCTATAGGTCTTTTTCTTTGCTTTGTCTTTGCATTGTAATGGCCTATGGTATAGAAGCTCTGTTGTTGTTTGTAGCTATTTTGCTGGGGAACCATTATATACCAGTATTATTGCTTGTATGCATACAAACAAATGTATGCTGAAATTTCAAAGTGATTTGGTTGCTTTAGTGTTAGCTACAACACTATCCTACAGTATCTGTAGGAGATGACCAAGCTGAGCCCAAGGGATGTGTGTATCAAATGCATCATCAGTCTCAAGTCCCTTTGCATCCACAAAAGATCTAAGTCCAGCCCACCTTGAATTCTGTTGATTCTTATGTACCATCAGTTTTGTTTGAGCGTTAGTAGTTCAGATTCTAGTAGAGAACTTCAGCATGCAATAAACCTATAAATTTTTGAACTGCCTGGACTCCTGCTTTTCTACACTTGATGGTACCTTTCTTTTCATAGGCTAACAAAATAATGCTTAGAATCACTCAATGCCAATTAGAGTCCTATAGTACATGGAAAAAGTGATGCTAGGTAATCAAGTTAGAACATAAAGAATATAAAAAAGAAATCATTATGTGCTTCATGGGCATCTCATGTCATTGTCCTTATGTGAAACTTAGATACAAGTCAGGAAGCTACAGTACAGAATATGATGAAATAGAATGGCCCAGACTGGAAAATGAGTGAGACAAAGCAGTATGCACCCCCCTTAATATTTATTCAAACTATATGCTGAACTATATACTGCATATTAAGGGAATCAGAATTGGAAGAAAATGAGTGTGGTTTTATAATTGGAACAAGGAACATCAATAACCTGCATATGAAGATACAATACTCTGATAGCTGAAAATGCATAGGATTGCTGAGTCAAGAAGCACAGTGAAAAAAATGGGACTAAAATATGTAAAGAAGACCAGACTGATTTAGTAGAGTAGTCATGAATGCCTTGGAAAAGATGTTCAGAGGCTGTGATGTGATTATACTTTCAAAGATCAGAATAGTGCAAGTGGTGGTTCCTATGAAACTGTGTGGAAATGAAAGTTGGACTTTGAAGAGGCAGGACAGTAAGATATTGAAGCTTTTAAGTTTTTGTTTTGAAGAACACTCCTGAGAATACTGTGGACAGCCAAGAAAGCAAACATTAGATTATTAAATACATCAACCCAGAGTTCTCACTTGAGGCACAAATGACCGCATTCAAATGATCTTATTTTGGATACATTAGGTGATTGCCTAGTTTTCTGGAGAAAGCTCTAATGCTGGGAAAGATGGAAGGAAAAAGAGGGATCTAATTTTTGTCTTGGGACAGTTAAGACATGATCTTGCAGTGAGGGACATTCTTATGAATCCATTGCCTTTGGCAGATCACTCTCTGGTTGCCTTCCAGTTCTATGGTGTCACACTCTCTCCCAAAAGAAAGATAGGAACTGTTTAATAGCCCTCCAACTTCAGGTACTAAATGGTCTCTTGAAGGCCCAAAGAGAACTTGGCATTTTTCCTAAGGATTTGGTGGGTGGTCCAGCTGAAGCCCTAATTGCTGCCTGAAAAAGGGAAGGTTGTGAGACTTTGGACTGTATTGCCACTCTGCAGCTTCTCCCTCTCTATATCAAGGAGTTCCGGGAGATGCTGGTTCCTGGTTTACCAAGGAGTTCCTGGTTTACCAAGGAGTTCGTGGAGATGCATCCATCTTTGATGTCTCAGTGACTTTTGATCTTGTCAACAACAGTGTCCTGAGTTGGCTCTATAGACTAGAGGGCATCATTGTAGAATACTTCTCTTCTTTCCCCCAGGGATGGTTTTAATTGGGTGTTTAACATTGATTGGTACGATACCGTAGTTTTGGTTGGATGGGGAAAATCATTCCCAATGTCCTTTCACTATGGGGTACTCTAGGGTCCTACCCTCTCCCCTCTACTATTAAATATTTACATGAAACCCCTGAGTGAGGTCATCCACTTGCATTGTGTGTGGTCTCATTATACTAATGATATACTAATGATAACTAAATATATATTTTGATCCCAGGCTAGCCAAGTAGGGCGGTTGAGATTCTGTTCCAATGCTTGGAGACTGTGGATTTAAATAAGAGGAACTGTCCTACTAAGACTGAATATATGTGGGTATTTGGGTATAGTATTCCTGCAGTCAAGAGCAGTACACAATCTGGAAGTCTTTTTAAAGCCTCATGGAGGCTGCTCAATGAGGTGTTGACTGCTGTGATCTGGATGGGAAAAATTCTTCACAGCATTTATCAGATGGCTGCACTGTTGGAAGACCTGAGGGTTCAGGTTAGGGACAAATTATTAGGGAGAAAATCTACGTGGTAGCTAAGAGTTGACACTGACTTGACGGCACATAATGTGTCAGTGATTATGTGATAGGGAACTAAAATGCAGTGATGAAATTAGGGAAGAAAATTACTGTGATCATGGTTACATATGAAGCAATCGTGGTTTTATATATAAAGCAGTGTTTTAGCCAAGAAAAGTGAGAAGGGCTTAGTTCTTTTATTACGTTACAAGGAGAATTTATGTTTTCTCATTAGAGTTTGAAAAATATAAAGAGATTAGAATAAAAATTAAAGATAAGGTTCTATCACCAGTTAAAATATTAACTATATTATATATTTTATATGTGGCCCTAAGAACAGTTCTTCTTCACTCGATGGAGCAAGCCAAAAGATTGAACCTGACTGGTTTAGACTGTTGGATATGTTTGGAGTATAAGTAGTCTTTGACTTATGACCATAATTGAGCTTGGCATTGTGGTTGTTAAGCAAGACACTCACATGATTGCTTCACTCAAAGAAAACAACCCTTCCTGTTCCTAGCCAGTCTGGAGGACAATTGCCTCTTTAGCCTTGAGAAAGATTTCCTTTGCTAGATTTCTAACTGAGACTCACATTGGTTGGGCCTGTCTGTCAGCAATCGCAGGGAAGGGGAAGGATAAGTGGACCCGGGCCCACATGTCATTACGGCAGCTGGCTGAGAGCTTCTAAGCATGGTGGGGCATGGAGAAGGCCAGGTCTTTTGGAATGTGGAGAGGGGGATGTCTGTGCTTTGTTGGACCTATCCAGCTGAGTCTTCTGAGCATGGTGCTGAGGACAGTAGAGTGTGTCAAATGTTTCAACTTTCAATTTCCAAACATTAGGGGTGCTCAAAAGTTGTGACATGCCTTGGGGATTGTAAATATATTTTGGTTACCTTAATATAATTTAGATGTGCTTGGTAAGTAACTACATAAACATCGTAACATTTTGTTTGCTTCATCTGCGGCCAGGAGGAGCTGGGGCTCTCAGACTGGGAGGGGGAAGGCCTGAACATTTCTGGGACTAGCTGGCAGAGGACTCCCAGCCCCCAGCAGATTTTCACACCAGTGGGCCTAGCTGGCTAAGGCCTCCCAGCCCATGGTGGGTGGAATTGCGGCACTCCCAGTCAGAAAGGTGGGCGCACTGCCAAGTTCCCAAATTTTGATCACATGACTGTAAGGATATTGCAGTGGTTAGAACTACAGGCAGAGGTCTCAAGTCCCTTTGTTCAGAGCTATCATAATTTCAAATGGTCATTGTTAGGAATATAATCTAACAGTTGGGTTGGCAATATATAAATCATGTAACAATGCTATACCTGTTTCTTTAAATCATACTGTAAAATATGATTGGTTGCTGTTTTCCTCACTCGGCCATAAGAGGGAGCCAGAATGACTGTTAGCTCTCTGGTTCGTTAGTTGCTGGGCTGATCTGACCTGAGTGCCGTGAGCTATTGTAAGTTTTGCAACTGTTAGCAAACCTTGAGTACTGAACTGATTATATGATACTGTGCTATGTTATTTGGATTATCCCTTAACTGAAAGATGTTGATGATTGATTGTCTTATCCATGTATGACTTGGACTGTTTGATGGATTCTGATACCTCTATTTCCACGAAAGTAGAAGCCTATTTAAACTGCTTGTTTGTGTGTTATCCAACACAACTCTCACAACGCTTCGCTGAATGTACTTGCTCTCCTAACGGGGAGCTTACCTAACAGTCATTGAACAAATAGTTATTAGTTGAGGACTACTTGTATAAAATTTGCAACAGTTGTTAGGCTTGTTGGATAAAATCTTTTCATGAACAAGGAGAATAGTTTAGCTTATTTATAGCTAAAGTTATACAACTGAAGTTCTTGCTTCTTACAAGGTTTCCTATCGCTGTGTTTCAGTTGGACAATTTAAGGAAAGTTCCCATGAGATGGGAAAATAGACATTTGATCAGGTATAAATGGGCTCTGTTACATGGCTTACATGGCTTACATGGCTTGAGATTGGGTTACCTGAGGGATCACCTTTTCCCAAGAGTTTCTTCTTGTCCACCTTAATCTAGCAGAATGGGCATGCTGCAGATCCTATCAGTCAAAGAGTATCGGCTGCCAGGGGCTAGAAGATGGGCCCTGCTCTATGGAACATCCTCCCCTCGAGATTAGAATGGCCCCCACCCTATTAGTCTTTTGTAAGGCCTTAAACCCTGATTATGTTGCTGAGCTGGGGTGTTGAATGTGTCAAGAATGCCATTTTCTGGCTGTATTGTTAACTAGTGAAATATTTCAGGTTCTATGTCTATTTATTTTGGATGATTGTATTGTTTTTATTATTTTTTATTATTTTAAAACGATTTTGGTATCTTAATTGTAATACGTTTCTTGAATTGTAAGCCACCCAGAGTCATTGTCTGAGATGGGTGGCTATAGAAATTGAACTAATTAATTAATTTCAATTATTTCTTCAGATTTTTTGATAAGAAAAATCTAGAACTATAATAGAAGACTTCTAGCATCAAAGAAGAAGTCTGTCATAAAACCAAGAGATGAGCTAAATAATCTTTTGGCTGAATCATAAAGCCACCCTACTATTATTCTTTAAGCCCAGGGTCCCCAAACCCTCTACTGAACCAAGGTCCAGTTAGAGCCTGGTTGCACAAGTGGTGGGCACTTGTTCTCGCAGGTACAACTCCACTTGTGCACTTGACTAGGCTGATAGATTGAATCTTCAGGAGGTAGAGCGATGACAGGATGCAACCTTAATTTGCCTTCTTGTAGTGGGTATTCTCTCAGAAGCCATGAGCTATGATAACCTTTATATGAATCAAATGATCTACTAAGGGCTTTGAAATGTTTTCAGAAATCCAAATATGTTCACCAGCTCTCAAAAGTTATTTACTGTAGTCTAGTTATATACACAGACATGGGGAGGGGGGAGAGGGAGAGGGAGAGGAAGAGGAAGAGAGAGAATGCATACATTTATATATGAAGATTTGGTAGCAACTATGCATTACATATACAATACCTTGGTCTGTGTGCTATCATATTAATTATTCACCTAATGTTACCTATACTTATCTGTGTTTCTCCCTTCTCTCTGCAGCATGTGCGTTCCGCTACAATGGGCTCTCATTTGTCTACCTCATCTACCTCTTACTCATTCCGCTGTTTTCTGAACCTACAAAAATAACAATGCAAGGTAAGCATCATGTTCCTGGCAGATGTATTTAAAGTAAGATAGATATAATCACTGTTACAATGAAATTGTTCTTTTTTAAATAAGTCGAACTCTGTCTCAGAAAGACTCCACTGTAAGAAACAAAAATGTACATATAGATTTATAATGTATACAGGATTGTCTTATTGAGATGGACGGCTTAGAAATTTAATAAATAAATAAGTAAGTAAGTAAGTAAGTAAGTAAGTAAATAAATAAATAAATAAATAAATAAATAAAATCAGCATTTATAACTATTACTTGACAATCAATTCCTCAAAACTGGTAAGAGCTTCATAGTTTATTGAAGTATATAGTTCATTGACCTGCACTTCCTGTTGAATGCATTATATCAGGTATATATCTATAACCTGCATGGCTAGAACGCTTCTGATATATTCTTGCACCCCTTATAAAAGTAAATAATTATATGCATATAATTATTCATATATACTATAATTTTGAAACTTCTAAACCCAAGTTTTCGCACCCCCTGGACTATCATCTCACACTCCCAAGGGCTGTGAGCACCCCTCCCCCCATTTGGGAACCCCTGCATTATATTAAACAAAGACTATCAGGGTCCAAAGATATTTGAGGAAACTTAATATTTTTTAGGACAGTTGTTGTAAGGTGTGAGTAATAGCTGCCCAGAATCACGTTGTAGGGAGATGGGCATTATAAAAATTAAATGAACAAATGAATGAACGAATGAATGAATAATAGATAATAGATGTTTGAAGCTGTGAGGGTCTGGATGGGGAACAACAGGCTTTAGCTGAACCCTGGCAAAATTGAGTGGCTTTGGGTTTTGGGCCTTGCCGGTTCCAGGACTATACTATCTTTGGCATTGGATGGGGTTCAATAACTTCATGTTATGGGATAGCTTCATGTTGTGCCCTAGTTGTGTCCATACCTGGATTGAGAGGTTATACCTATGGTCATTTATTCTCTAGTCACCTCTGACTGGGTTACTGTAATATGCTCTGCATGAAGCCATCCTTGAAGAATATCCAGAAGCTTTTGTTGTTGCAAAAGGTTATATGTGGAGATCTATATACTACTAAAACTGTCATATCTGTTTGTCTGTTTGTAGCCTATAAGGCAATAATTTTTGAAACACTTTTTGAACATTTTTTAAATGGACAAACTAAAGTGATGTGTCCAAATCCCAATACTTCCATGAGGTTGAAATTTGAAAAAGCTATGCCTGCTTCAGTGCCACCATACAACCATAGTCATGTGATTGTGATTTTCAATGCTCCCTAACAATTTCCCACAAATCAATGGAGAATCAGCAGGAAGCCTGAAATCAGTTATGATTCTGACACTCACTGCCTCATCGCAGAAGCAAAGTCAGTGAGAAAACTGATAGGAAGTTGCAAGTCCAAGGCCAGCTGCCAGGTGGGGAAAGAGCAAGGGGGTGTCTGAGAGATGTGGCGAGGACCAGGGAGAGTGCATGAGGGTGCACTTCAGGTCAGAAAGCATGTACCCGTGCGTGTGAGTAGCCAGCACAGCACATACACAGAGGGACTGGGGAAGAGTGCACAGGTTGGGAAGACTTACCCTAGCAGCTTGCCCTGCCAGCTTTCCCATTGGCTTTCACCCTGAAAGCTTCTTACAGTGAAAGTCAGTGAGAAGTTGACAGGAAATGAGGAATTGCTCCATATCCCACTATTTTTTTGACTACCTGCGGTCATTTGCTTTCTTTAGGTAAATAAATCTTTTTGAAATAATGACACAATTGAAATGATGAGCCAACAGATCACAGGTTATCTAGTATTTATTAAATGAACTTTGGGAAGAAGAAGGTGTAGAACGGCACAGGTTTTTCCTTCTATTATTTTGGGCATTCTTAAATTATTTTCCTTTACTGTATACTTCTGTTTTATTTTTGGATGGTGCTATTCGTATGATTGATTGGCTTCATAGTATAAGGAGCCTCCAGATAATTTGCTTCTTGACTCTTCTATTAGGTATGCAGATTTTGGATCTTTTTCTTTCTTTCCTTCCCTTCCAGTTCTATTTGTTCTACTGGTAAGAGATGCTTCAGCTATTTTCCATACTATCTGGATTTTTTTATGTATGTTAGATATTTTCTTGCCTTCCTTGTCTCTTAATTGAAATAATACTAGCAACAGTAATGGCATTTAGTCTTCAATAGTGAGTTTATTTAAAAACAATAGATCTGGCTTAATTTTTAAGTTCTGTTAAATTGATAAATGTTTTAATTAAAAAAGTTATATAAAACTTAATATCATTTCAGTCAGGTGAAATGAAAAATATTCCTTCATGTAAAACACTATATTACCGTATATACTCGAGTATAGGCCGACCCGAATATAAGCCGAGGCACCTAATTT